TAAAAATGGTAATTTTCGGTTAAAACGCCCGAGGGCACATATTTTGCAAATTTTCCTGAATTTTCTGATCCAGCAAAACGGAGGGTGCTAGAAAGTTTAAACTTGACAAAGAAGTACCTGATGAATAGATGAGGAAAGAAACAGTTATACTTTCATATTATATATAGGTGATCGTGAGTAGCTGACTGACATAAGAACCTATTCACATGATGAGTTCAGGAAAAATTCCATTTTGGTGATACACGCCATAGGGGCACACCTTTTCAAGGAACATATTTTCAAATAGTTCTCTTAGCTTCAATCAAACGGAGACCCAGGGAAAGCTGTAACATGGCAAGAACGTGACTGGTGAAGCACTCAGCTCAAATGACAAATGTCAAATTTGCAAAATATTTTTTGGGGAAGTAGCGTTTCAAAGAATTTTAAATATCCTAACGAATCGGGCAGAAATTGAAAAATTATAGCTGGCGCACGCATAACGGGCGTGATGTTGATATAAGGAACAATTAACATTTGAGTAATTTAACTTTGTTGAGCGTCTCCCAGAGGACAGCTTTTGGGCTTTTCCAAATATATTTTTTACCTCCAGCAAAAAGGGGAAACGCATCAGGCTGAAACTGGGTGGCATGGAGTTCCCTGAGTCTATGTTTCAGTATTTAAAAAAATGTTCGTTAAAAAAAATTAGGACTTTTTTTAAGTCCCATTTTCGTGAATTATTTTTCGATCCAACGAAGCAGAAACAGAAAATTTAAAACTCCCTCAGAAGTACCTGTTTGATGGCTGAGTACAGGAAAAATCCTACTTTTGAAATATGCACCCTTAGCGTAGATTATTGGAGAGAAGTATTTTAAAATGTATTCTTCACCCTTAAAAAAGGGACACAATAAAAGACTTCAAGTTAGGCACACATAGAATCATAGAGGTAATGATTTGATAAAAATCAAGACTTTCAACCCCATATGTCATGTATTCAATATTTCAATGGGGACATGCTTTAAATACGTGTTTCCCATTTCCCAAAAAATGGATGAATTAATCCAAAGTAATAGAGCGCCGAAGGCGCGCCCATAGCGAGTTTGTTTGCCGGAAGGGCAAACAAACTCGCCAGTATCATATATTTCCTGATGGGACTGGGAAAAAATGAACTTCTCTCCTTTTGCTCAATGAATCTCACCCTCTCCAAACCTGCGGATGGCTTATTGCCTTATTTTTTTCCCATAAACTGGATGCCGCTGTATCATTATAGATGCAGGCGATATCTCAAATTGGTAGATTTTTGTCATTATTCACCTTGACCTGAACATCAAATTGGACACCAAAAACTCCTTCCTCCAATCGTTTCATTCTCAATTTCGAAGATGATATCAAGAGATCTAAGACACCAGGGTTCATATGTGACACAAACTTCCTTTCTAGACCAAATTAGTTCTGATATTACTGAAATGTGCTTGCTGTTCTCATGCATGTCTTACAAATAGAGGAATGAAGCATATTAAAGTCAAAAGACGGTGAGAAAGCAAAGCATGTTTCAGAAATGAATTTAGTCTATTCATTGCTTTCCCTATCTGCTATTGGCGTTGATTCATTTTGCTCATGATAAAGATAGTATACCATTCCAAAAAAACCCAAAAATCTGAGCAATATCTCCGAGCTTTTTGAGCGGATATTGCACTCTCTCTCTCGTTCATTGCTCGGAATTCCGCGCACCAATCACGGCGAGTTTCTTATGGTTGGAAAGTCTCGCAGTTCTCCCTTTGATTACAATACGTATACAATACGTGACAACTCTTGCAGGAGTTTCGATAGGGCGATAGAGGAAAGATGAAAGGGATGGTCCCGTCTACTGCCTCTCCACCGCCCAGTATATTTTTTGAAACGGTCTATTAAAAGACTTCAATCCAATTCTAATTTCAGTGAAGAACCCAGAGATATCCCTTTTTATACTAGTTTTCTGTTTTCTGTGTTTTCTATGCCGTGGAAGAGGGAGTTAAGGCTTTGGGCCACCCAGTATTTGCGTTGGCATCTAACATAAGTCAGTCAACTTCAAGCAATCCAGTATGTACACAATAACAAGAGAGGGAACAATACTGTATAGGCAAAAGAATCGTGGTTTCAACAAAATACTTTGGATTATTGCGTGAGTAATTGTAATAACCTCAACCTTATTTGACCTTCTCCCATATTTTATTCTCGCGTCGTATAAAACTCTCTCATGTCTCAATCGGATTTTAAAAAAAAGAAGCAAAAGCAACTAACATTGTGTTTTCACGATTGCTATATCTCCTACTCTAAGACGAGATAGAGCCTGCTAAAGTGAGCCTTTCGTGAAAGAGTGCACATGATCATGCACTGGAGAAGGAAGGTAGCGTAGGCATCGAAGACATATGTATGGAGAAAGCTTTTGGAAAAAGGCCTAAAGAAGAAAGATGGGAAGTTCACCTGCCTCGCAAAGCTCATGTCATAAACAACATGGTGTGAGAATGGACGAGTCCGTTCCTTGACTGAATTACGGTCCCTGCAGCCTCCTCACGAAATATCTTCCCAGACAAGGTTGTTAATGTCGTATATCAGCTGGCCATCTTGGAGTTCTAAGTTTGGCTCCACCCGTTTAAAGCACCCATGGAAGGAAGAATGGGTTAAGGCTGTCTCCACCCGAGAAACGTCAAGCTCAGCTCCACTGCATGGGACAAGGATGTTCCAGATATGATTTTTTGCTTATGCTCAAACAGGATTGCATTTCACTTGACACCACTATCTTTCCAAATTGATACCATTGCGTGGTAGGCTCCATTATCTTCAGAATGATATCAAGGACAAAGAAACAGGCAAAGTACAGGGAGGCACACGGAGTGAAGGCGTAACAGATATTCGAAAATCAAAATGGCTGGTCATGTACGAGTGATCCTATCGATTGCCAAGAAGAGACAAACAGGTTCCATTCCCGTTATCAACGAACACCCATCGTAGGCGAGGGACAATAAAGCTTTTGATCTCGCACAATAGCACCTAGAGCTATTGAAGAACAAACCGGTACCGTATGTATAATATCTTAAACCTCGTTCAGGTAATCTAAAGAAGAAAACCCAATAGAGTCATGGGTCACGAATTTCAAACTTATGATTCTACCGTTGACTGAGTCCGAAATCCCTTGAGGATCTGGGTTAACTTTAACCCAGATCCTCAGGGTTTAACAGGGTCCTTCATAAAAAAGTACCATATTTGTCGATTGCTTGTAACGAATTTTTGCTGATTCAGTCTTTACTTTTGCAGGTGACTTGCTACTTATGAGTTTTTCTTAACCAGTTCTTTGAGAATCCAGTTCAGTGGGGTTCACTTGGAATCTGCGCGAAAGTGATTTCCTTGGGCTTCGTAACGTTGACAGGTGTACTGCTTCGATGTTGACATCTGTTCGCTGCGAACATGGTCTACCAAAAAAATTTCGTTCGTTCACATTATGCAAATTGGGGTTTATTTGCTACTTATATGAGGTTTATATTAATAAGGCACTTGAGGATCCAGTGACTATGGTGTTCAATGTGCAACAGCGAGAGCGGATTTTCGAGCTTTTCATTGAACGAGGTCTGTAACGCAAACGCAGAAATGTACTCACTACAAACAGCAATCATTGAACTCACCTACCCGTAAGGCATTGCATTTTTTGTATTGCTGAAAAAGTGAGAAGCATGGACGTTGCATAATGCGAACAAAGGAAATTTTGGCAGACCACTTACGCAGAGAACAACATTGAAGCTGTACACCTGTCAACGTTACGAAGCCCAAGGAAATCACATTCGGGCAGATCCCAAGTGAACCCCACAGAACTGAATTCTCAAACGACTGATTAAAAAACCTCATATAAGTAGCAAGTCACCTGCAAAAGCAAAGACTGAATTAGCAATATTCATTACAAGCATTACGATCGACAAATAAGGTACATTTCTATGAAAGACCCTGTGCTTTAGAAAAAACACATTAAACTTTTACTAATATAATTTGAATTATATAATTGAATTCATCAAAACAAATTTGTCATGTCTTGACTCATCGCTGCAGCAGGGTTTGTACTTTTAGGGTGCCTACGTCTGACAAATTATGGACAGTATTGAAAGTACTTAGCATTGAATAAATCGACAAGCAGCCCTGTTGCAAAACTATAGCGAAGTACAGATCTTGGCTAACCTACAGAGGGCGTTTTCTTCATGGGCGCCTAGGGTGAGTATTGCGAATGTCGGCACTCTAAGCAAATTCTGCACTTCCACCTTGCTTGCTGGATTTCGTAATGGAGCTTCCTCGTTCATAATGGATCTGGTGATACCTTTATTATAAACCTTCTTATACCGCAAACCTCGAGTGCCCCAGACCTTTCACTTCCGAGGGCCTGGGTCAAAGGTGAAGTTGGGTCAGATGTTGGCAATCTCGGCACACTTGCTAGTATAGATGGCACCGCCCTGTCGGGAATCTTGGCACACTTATGAATCACTGTCGTTTACAACAGATCCAAAAATGAATGCAACGACCAGATAAAACAATATCTGGTGTGCAAGAGAAGAACGGAATGTGCAAAAGCTTAGCAAAATCACAAGATTTCGCAGGATTTTCGGGGTGCGCTTAGAGAAAGTGGCCACTGCGAGAGAACTACAACAGCAAATCTGACTGTTCCAAGCACATGTTAACAACATTAGTCCTACCATCTGAGAACACCTATCTACCCGTGCCTAGGGCACTAGTAGTGGAAGCAGAACTTTGACAATTGCAAAGTGCCAAGATTACCCCCAGTGCCGACATTCGCAGCACTTACCCTATTTAATGAATTTCCTCTGCTTGCCTGATATTGCAATTCTCACCCTGTCTATGATGAATTCATGAATCTGGGTAAAAGTACCATTCACCATCTCCAGGATTGTTGGCAGCAGAATTTTTTCTGTGCTACTGATTCCAGGTTGCCCTCTTTTTCAGTACTGTATCATTTTAACTTTTTGAGGAGGAGCATCTTGATATGAGGTAAGATTTGAGATTGTGTGAAATAGATGAAAGGAGCTGATTGAATGTGTCAGGTGGGCTGGGGTCAAAGGAAATTGGTCCGTCTAATGCAAGAGGACTGGCCAGGCCATGAGGTTCATCTGACTGTCAAGAAACAACCCTGTCATGGTGTACTGAACACTGCCACTGGCTTCTTCAAGCCTATACGACTCCCATCTCTCATTGGAACTCCTCCTCTCCTCACTGGCTCTGGCACAGAGCAAAGGACTCACACCATTGAGCCCATTTGTCCCTCTGTGCCTCCCCCTCCAAAGCCAAAGTGAGACACAACCTTTTTCTCCATCGGATTCTTGTCTCATTCTTGAGTCTCCTTTCGTATTTCTTGAGGGGTTAGTAAAGGGGGTATATTGAGTTTATACCATGGTGTTACTCCTTATCTGAAAGAATTATCAAGATTTTTTTGGGAACTCAAGATCAATCTACAAAGAGCATTATTGCTTTGTTCATGCAAAGCTCCCATAGGGCCCCATTGTAAGTAATTTTTTCTAGCAGCAATTCTAGAGGTCATAAAAATTACTTTTATACTATAATATATATATATATATTTTTTTTTATAGAGATTTCCATTGTTATGAGTGCAATGTCAGAACAGGATTTTGATTATGGCATTCATGGCCAAAATATATATATAACCCAACATTGCATTTTAATCATGAAACACTTATGACTCTTTGAAGTAGAATTTTAATAACTCTTGAAGAAAACAATTTAAAGGAAACTAGTTGATATTGAACTTGGAGAATGCATGCTTTTGTGACATAAGTTAGTGAATTAAAAATACAGAGCACTATTGCTGGCTAGTGCATCTAGCACTAGCCAGCAATATTTTGTCACTGCTCATTCTTGACTGGTTCTGTAAACTCCTTATACCATGCTATGTTGCCAATTGTCGGGTGCTAAACATTAATTAATATTAAATAAAATGATCACATTTATTCAATAATGGCAATAACAATGTCAACATGACAAGCTACAAAACTGAGAAGGCCTAAGAAAACTACTGAAAAGTTGTGGAAGCTTGTCCATATTTATGGACACAGGGTTTCAATGAGTTAATGGTATTTCCAGAACCTATGAAGCTACAAATGAAATATTACAGGACCATTATTAGGAATCCAAATGCAATATAGCAGAAAAGAAAATCTGAGAACTCATATTTTTACCTTTCGGCCAATGTTCCCCTCTCAATGCAAATGGTCTGATATCCATTTCACTCTACTGTAAAAATAGCCATAATTTATTATGGATGTCTGATGTGTTTTTTTTGTCCACAAACATGAATTATTTTAATCTCAACTGTATTAATTAATTTATACTGAAGGTATTTAGACTGGTGAACTTCTGCTTTTGTTCCCCAAGAATTTGTCATTTTGATAGATTATCAAAAGTCAACCATTGTGGTGTTGCTGAAGAACTTTGTGACTGCAGCAAAAAAATAATTTAGTTTGCAATAGGAAGAGGGGGTGGGGTTACATTCATCTTCTCAATAAAGCCCCCTTAAAGACCATGTCTTCTGACAGACTGTGTGTGCACAATGCATACTGGAGTGATTACTGTGCTCTTGTTACAGCATCTAAACCCAAGTATTCATCAAGAAATATTGTAGTTTTTGCACTAGCTGGAATAAGGTATGAGGCAACTTGCACATAATGCTGTCTATCAACTAGCAAAGGAGCCCAGAATGCTAAAAGCTATAGTTGTTTGAGTTGTGTTGGCATTTGTGGTGAGTCCTCTCTGAGAATGCATTGTATTGTGATAAGCAAAATTCACCATCATCAAGGTCATAGGGGACCTAATGCAGAATATTCTTTTGACCCAGTTTTTTAAATTAGCATGTTGATCATATTTCATGAATGGATCTGATTATCCAAAATGTTAATCTAACAAACTTGAGAAGCTCATCTTTGGTGGGTGCTTAGGGAGGAGAAAGAGAAGGGAGGTGGAGGAGGGAGGAAGAGTCAGGCAGAGGTAGAGGAAGATTTGGAAGGAGCCCAGCCAGTGGCTCAGAGGGCCTCTCTCTTCAGGAGGGCCACTGTCATTGGACTACAGGCCAAGGTATGACTTAGGTGGGGTGCAATCATTCATTTGCTTAACTTTATTCACCCTCCTTGCCCCTAACTCCTTGCAGGGGAATGAGGAGTCAGGATCTCAGGAAGCAAAAGATTCAGTAGTGGAGGGGAAAGGTCATGATGCTGTTGTTGACCGAACAGTCAGTTCTCCTCCTGGCAAGTCCTCTGCACCCTCTAAGACTCCTACTCATCGGTAAGATGTTATCCTTTTCTTCTCAGTATCTGCCTCTCTCTGCTTTTCTGGACTTGTTTCTGATGTCATATCATGCCACCTAAGTTAAGTTTTTAACAGAAATTTCAGTCAGATATTATTGTCAAGGATTTTCATGCCTGGGATAGTCTGTAATGACAATAACTGGACAGAGATAATTTTTTCCTTTGTGATAAGCAGTGAAGAATAAGTGAGAAATGTAAACTTTCTATCTGCTGACAAGAAATAATGTAAATATGTTTTAGCTGATGGCAAAATTGCTTGTTGATGTTACTGAATTTGATTTCCAGAAGAACTCAATTAGCCTTAGGGAAGTAGGCAAGCTAATGTACTGACTGTTGAAACACTTTTTCAATTTGCTGTTTAGACTGAGGAGGGAGGAAGATGGAAAGCGAGGTGAGTTCTCTGATATGTCATTCTCCTTTGCTACCTCTCACATCATCCCTGGTCTCATCAGACTTATGCATCTAAGATACCAATAACTTGTCTACACCCTGGCTTTTTCTGGCTGTCTTTCCTTCATTCACCCTCCCCCTTTCTTTTCTTTCTTGCTTGGTACCCTTAGGATCCTGGTGAAAGTGATTGCTTCTTGCCTCTCTCTCTCAAAAGAGGACTTGGTATGTCTTCCAATCCCTGGCCTCTCTTTCCTCTTTCATGCCCTGTCTCATTACAGCTTTGCTTCTGTCCTGACTGCAATCCATCATAATGTAGTCTTAATGTAATTTTCCTGCATGACTGGATTCTTGAATGGAATTTGTGGTTTCATAGTTGGAATGTTGGTGATGAGCCCTTCTCAGAACTCATACTCAGATCCTGAATGAGAAGATTTCAACTGACTTCTGTCATTGTCGATTTCCCCAATTGACTTTAAATGAATTCTTACATGTGTACTTTCATCCTGGTTGCATCCATTGAAATGTCGAGCAAGATCAATCAGTGAATTGGGTTGACTGAAAATAGTTTCCATTGCTTTGGCAGTAAATTTTTTTCGTGCTTTCTATTCCAAGTTTCAAGTTTGCATCAAGTGTGCATGAATGCATGCCATCTAGAATGGATTGACAGCCAAAATCTTCATATTGGTCTCTTCAAGTTCATGGAAAAGTTTAGACAATTTTTCGCATTTTAAACCCCTTGATAAATGGCCTCAATGGTGTCATACTTAAAATCACAAGATTCATCAGGGTGGCTGGCAGTACAAATGATTTTCAAACAGTCACGAGAACCATTTATTCCCTTGATCACATATTACTGCAATATTCAGATTGGGGCAGTTGTTCAAGCCTAGCATGGTCATCCTTTGCCATTATGAACCTGTCAGCCTATGATCCTCATTGTGAACATGTTGATTATCTGCAGGTGGGATAAGTAAGGAGCTTGCTGCTATATCTCCTATGAAGGTGAGTTTCGTTTGAGTTCTGAGTTGCTAGATCAAGCTCTACAAGTGCTTTGAATCTAATATCCCAAGAATAATGCATTGGTTTATGTCCTAATGATGTTCTTCCATACTTAATGGAATTAGTTTTTAATATATAATGTGAGATTCAAGCTCAACACAGGCACTTATGCAGATAATCTTCATCTTAAACCTTTGCTGTTGAAGGCTTTAAAAAATCCCAAGGATGAATGAGCATCAGTCACCAGATATTGGCCAGATCTACTTTACAGACTTCACATTCAGAGCTGGCTCTGGCAGGAAGATTAAAAAAAAATAGTCATGGTTAAATGAAACCTTCCTGTACTCAACTTCCTTTTAAGGGGAAGGGGACCTTGTATCCAATAGGAGATGGAGAGGCTGTATCTTTATCCAGTCAAACATATCTCAGGCACATCATTTCAGGGAGGTTGGGGGGGGGGGGGGGGGGGGGGGCAAAAGGCCCCAATCTCAGGCACATCATTTCAGGGAGGTTGGGGGGGGGGGGGGCGGCAAACTCACCCTACCCTACAACATCCATAGTCCTTTGCCTCCCTCCAACCCTCCTGTCTCCCCTGCAGTTTATAAAAATGACAATCCTGTCATTTATGCCACTCAGGCATTCATTCCCACTTCTATGTTCACTGTGGCTTTAACATGGAACTGTTATATGAAATTCTTATGTACCAACGTAAGGTATTGGATATTGACAGACACCTTTAGGATCTTGAGGACTACAAAGATTAGTCTCAACTGATAACCACATGGCTGATTTGTCAAAACTGTTTACATTTTGGTTTCACTTTACAGACCATGAGTCTCTTTCTTCAGGCCTGCTTCTAGAGAAGGGGAAGACACACATATCTAAGTCTCATTCTCCTTTCAGCTGTCCAAAAAAGACTATAGTCAAAACAGGGCTTGAATTATATTTCTTGAAAAGCTCCTCTCTGGCCTCTCCGAAGTTTGAGCCTGAAGAATCAGTAACTGGTCTAGACTTTATGGATCTTCTGCAAGCACAGTGTGCTAATTTATACATGCTTTTCATATATTTGGTCAGTCCTATATGTATGAAACATACTGTGGAAACTTGTTAACTTGAACTTTAGGAAACAGGAAAACTGATTGGAGTTATCTGAAGTTTGACTTATTAGAAATTCTCTCTACCCCTAGAAAAAATATCTCAAGTTAAGGGACATAGCTAGAGGGCGATTTTTCCATCCTCAGGAAGTGATGACCTTTTGATTATCATTGACTTTTATTCATCTGTATGGAAACTTTGATACTCTATGTGCAAAATTCATTCATCTCAATGCCCTTCACCTGGTACTCATTAGGTGTATCCTTGCTGGCATGAAATCAGTCATCTTCATATGTTTTTTTAAAGGCTTTAACAACAGAGAGGTGGAAGTCTTCCAATATGCCAATCACCTTGAACATGTTGCCTGACATTTCCCCTCCTGAGTAAAGGAAATTTCTCCTTCACATGCCCAATTCAAATTAATTTCAAGTTAATCATAAGAAAATTGTAATCGGGGATGGAAACAGGGTTTGAGATATCTGGAAATTCTAGATAAGCAAATTCGAGTTAAACATGGTGTCCTACAGGATTTCACCAGGATCAAGCATTGAACTTCAAGATAAGCAGAATTTTGAATAATCCTCCTGAATCCTGACTAACTTGCATATAAATTTAAATATAAATTTGTTTTTCTGAAGTCAGTTTGAAAATCGTTCTCAATGCTGTTTTTCTTTTGAAAATAGAGCATGGTTTGTCTTGAAACCATTATTTGCCTCATTGCTTTCATTATTCTGCTATATGAAGCACAGAACTGATATTTAAAATGTCATAATATCTCAACACAGGAATCAGGAGGTTATCAGGATTCAAGTTAATGAGCTTCCACTGTATGGGATTTGACACAAGTCATCTTCAATCATATAAGAATGAAAATACTATATATAGCCCTGTATATTTTCATATCTTGGTCCATACAATTACATCATTTTTGTCATGGCATATCTTATAAGTCAAGCATGTTTTTGTATGTGAGAATATCTGAAACATACCCATATCCTCAAAGGATCCACAATCCATAAAATACTGTGCATCATTCATATACCTATTGCCATATATTGCATTTTTTTCTTGCAGTTAACTCATTTTTATTTGTTCATAGATCATTATCAATTACTCCTAGGGAATGGTACGAAGGAGAGGGTGATGAATTGAACTCTGCCCATCCATTTCTGCCATTACTTGCAGGATTCCACTTAAGCAATAATTATTTGAAGTTCCCTCAAGAAGTATATGAAAGTCATTCCAGCTTATTTTCTTCACTGGGTATACTGTCAGCTACTGAAGCATATCATTATAGATGATGCCAAAGATGGTGCACATTATAAATGAGAGCACAGTAGGTAAAATCTAAGATTAAAAAAATTTCCATAAATTAATTGCAACATTTGTCAGCTAATGAATTGAGTAAGAAATCTTTATGTGCATGTCCTAAGGCAATGAATAGACTCAAAACCTTATTGATGAATTGGTGAATTAATTCCGGTGCATCCTAACTTTTAATGATATACCACTGGTTTATATGCATTCAACATCAGAGAAACTCCAGCAAAAGCACTAATCCATAATCAAGAAGTATAAGAAAACAGGAAGTGTACTCTGCTAGAAAAAAGGTGCAAATGATAGAAATAAAAAAACATGAATGTCAGAGAACATTGAACATGTATGTGTTGCCATTCAGTGGAGCCCCAAGAAGTTTGTGCTGCAGCTCAGCTAGCTACTTAATGTGCCCTTGACATCCACAAACTGATTGCTTAGCAATGACATTAAAAAATTACCTGTACAAGGTGCAGCTTTGGCAACCTCTAAAACAACTTGACAAAGATTGGTGGGCTTTTTATCTGCCATTTCCATAGGTACTATAGGGAAATGGCAGATATTGCAATCAGTCTACCGCTTTGTTTTTTTTCATTCCATCTGTTTGCAGTAACCGTAGCGACCAGACAACATGACTCACTGCGCATGTGCAGCTCTCTGCCTGGGTCAGGGTGCCAGTCTATGACTAAAACATCCACTTCACTTCCAACCCCCAGATCCATAGTGGACAATAGGAGAGTGGAGCTGCATCTGGCCGCGTAGACAGGGTTGCTGGGGATATGCATGAAATGCTGCATTTGACATCCTACAATTCATACTCTCCTCCATCATGCAACGCTGATGCATGAACCATCAAGAACATGTCTAGTTGTCGGGAAATTTTCATATAGGCCTAAGCCATACCAATGACAGCTATTATCTATTTCAAAATTGGAAGATAAGGATGCAGCAAAGAAGAAAATTCCAAAGGTATAAGAGCTACTAGAATGGCAGATCTGTACCTGGGCTGGTACTCTCTAGTTTTTATTTGGCTATCAGTCAATTTCTGGAAGACCACCCTGATGCCTTGGATCACATCTGGTTTACAGATGACCACTTCCACCTTAATGGCTATGTCAACAAGCAGAACATGAGATTTTTGGTGTCAGAGAATCTCCATTGCATTGTTGATGGGCCATTCCATCCACAGAGAGTCACTGTCTCATGAGCTCTGGCAAGTGTGGGTATAGTGGGCCCTTTGTTCATTGAGGGTACAGTGAACACTGAGCCTGGAGATCATCAGGGACAGTTTCTTACATTTCTTCACGGCATGGGAATTGACCTAAGAGAAGAATATATCTAATAAGACAGGGCACACCCACATGCAGCAAACAGGGTTCTAGATTCCTGCACTCTGTTGTTAGAGACAGGGTGTTGCCCAACAGGTTTCCAAAAGAACATTTCGTTGGTGGATTGTCCTGGTGTCCCAACTTGTCCAAATCAGCATAACACCATACCTCATATTGAAATACAGCTATTAATTCCCTTGATGTTTTTGGTGCCTCTGCCCTCAAACATTCCCCTTACAGCCCTGATTTAGCCCCAAGTGATTTTTTAAGTATTTTCAATGCTGAAAAGAAGTCTGTGTAGCCAGCACTTCAGCACATAAAGAATTAAAATAGAAAAAAAAAACAAATTATTGCATAAATTGTCATAAGATGGCACATTTTCCCAAAGTGACTGGAATGCTACCAAAGGTGAATAGCTTGAGGAGGTCAATATTTTGAAAAGGAGATCATTGCTGAAGTTCCAGGTGCTCCAAAAAAGAAGATAGGTCCCCAGTCCAAGAACTTTTCAATATCCCCTCATAAAAAAAGTGCTGGAGAGAGAGAATCATGCTTTTATAGTCCCTTTCCTATGATAGATATTCCTGCATGAGGAATATTCCATGCATCCAAATCAAATGAAGTCATCTGACTTCATTGCAAAGCACCATACTTTGAAGCTTGGAGTATCTGAAAGAGGAATATAAAAACACCATATAATCTACCAATGGATTAGATTTCCCATTCCTGATGGTATTTCTCACTTCTGTATGCATTATTTTGATAAAGTGAATTTCATCCTTCACAGGAGAGGGAGAAAGAGAGAGGGAGTGAGATGCAATTGCCAGCCTCGGACCATATTGAAGTGAAGAAGATCGTACGTGAAAATGTAAGGACGTATCGCCGACCACTGGTACGGAACCCAGCTCTCCAGAGCCAGTTGACAGTGGATTCTCTGAAGAGCTCATCTCTCTATCAACCTCCACCTCCCCCTCTATCCAAACCCATGGCTCCTGCCTTTGTCATGAATCTTGACACTCCTCATGCATCTGATACTGTGAGTCTTTTATGCATGTTATATTTCATGGGACATTGGACAGAATACAATTGAACAAATCAAGTTATTTCCACAATGGGATTCTTTCTCACATTTTTCATGATGCAAGGAAAGTGCAAATTTGAGCCCATCTCAGAAAGGGGTAGGAGAATGAGAAGCACAGAATTCAGCTGGACTCAGTTAAAACCTGAAGCTTAAATCTAAGCACCATTTCCAACTTTGTAGTTGTTTTTTTTGAAGCTTTAATAAAATGTGATTCAGCAGATATGAATTGAGATATTAATGAGGTGAACTCATATCTCTTGGTCAGTGTAAGAGGATGTCTTCTATTTCAGGATAAACAGGCAGAAAAACTATAATATACAAAATTGGACAGTCAATTTAGCCAAATATACTACATTAAAAAATTGCAATATTTTTTTATCAGTAAAAAAAAATGTTCCCAATGCTTTTTTTTTTAAATCTGCAGTGGGTTAGCTGACAGAGTTCAGAGAGTTCATGCTGGCCTTTGTCTGCTTGAACATGTTATTGGATTTTGATTCTGCCTTGCTGAATCTCACTTTGCCATTCAATAAGAGTTTAATGATCAAAATGAGTGGAGGGAAGGGCAAAATGGCATGGCAGTTACCAACATTCACATGTCTTGGGATGCTCTGACTAGACTACTAGGTGTGTTGTGCAGGGTTGTCAATCTCAAATAGGTCAGTGGGCTGCATTCCTGCAGATTGCCTGTGGGCTGCACCCATACGTTTTTACCAAAATTTGTGCTGACAGTCAATCCAAGTGGAAATTTCAAGAACAGACGGCAGGCTGGATCCGGCCCACGGGCCATATGTTAGACACCCTTGGTCTAGTGGATAGCATTTTACTTTATCACTGTCTTCAGCAGCTCAAGTGAAACAAGCCAGGTCTCTCCTACATTGATTTCAGATTGAGTTTGCCCTGTTTGAATGGGTTTCTTTATTTGTTTACCTGTTTGCAGACAGCATTAGTCTTTAATTACTTAATTAATTAATCAATATTAATGGCTTGTGAGGCAGATTTTGCTGGATGTATTCATGGTGCTGCTGTGTTCTCTTTATGATATGATTATTGGCTGCCTAGAATCATGACTTTGACTCATCATTGCAGGGTCTCACATGTACAAGTGTTAAAGGAGTGTCATGCTATCAGAAAGTGATGTCAATCATTTCATCAAGTCACTTTATTAATTTATGCTCTTTTGCTTATTATTGTAATTTTAATTCATGTACACAGTGACCCATATGTGGCACAAACTTGTTTATGTGTAAGGATTGGGCAATGAAAAGTCAACCTGAATTTTGGTGGCAGCTGGTAAAAATACTTACCATATGATTTTTAAGTTTCAGGTATCATCTGAAAGCCCTTCTGAATCCTGATAAAATGCTACCAACCATTTTGCAACTATAGGAGAGCAGAAGTTATACCTAGTTAAGCAAATGTGGGTTGAAAAATTCTGGTGCTGAGACTTATATGTATGCCAGCCTTGTGTTGAGGCATAGGGATTCAGAGAAATGATGATTCATGCCTTGAGGTTTTGCTGTGGCAGCTGCAAGAAGTGAAGAACAAAAAATGGAGGCCCTATTGAACATTTAATTGGGTAATAAAGGCTGTCTTCAACCCCTTGAGCATGACCTGGGAACTGGTGGGCAGACTGTCCAGGGTGACTTAAATTTAGAGTATTTTATGCTAATAATTAATTAAGGAAAACCCTAGTCCTAACACCATTGAGTTGCTATCTACCAATGGTAGCAATAACCAGATGAGGGAGAGGATGATTGCTTAAGAAATACCTGAGCGACTAAAGCTGTTCCTGCACATTATAAACATATGATTTGGCATAGTGGCTAAAGTCATTGTACATGTTCAGGAGGTTGATTCAAGTTAAATGTCTTGTTAATTAAAAAAAAAAATCCCATTCTGACAATCCATGTCATTTTTCTTGTGCTACAAGCCATGAAAGTTAGACAGCCACACTACACTAAGTTTTTGTGCTTGAATTTTTTCACTCACAAGTGTTTCATCTCTTGAGTGAGTTTGGTGGGAGAGGTACATTACTGCCCTTTCTGAGGAAGGATACTTTTATTCTGTGATCATAAACAGGTGCAAGGACAAAGGTTATGTGGTCAAGTGTAAGCAACCCATAGTATGTGATGAGCCTTATCAATCCTCAAAGGTGCATGAAGTCTGAAACTGTACCCATATGGTCATACTCCTAAACATGTTAACTAAGCATAATATTTGATTCACTATGGATGTTGCAAAACAGTTGACTGGATTTTATTTTGCTTGAACAGAGCTTGAACAGATCTTTCAGATGCCTGGAAATTGACAATTGCATGGTCAGTAACCCTACCATTGACCTCTGAAATTTTGTAAATTTTTTTTTTGCTGACTCCATATTAAGCTTAGGATTCATTGAATTCATCAAACCTTCCTCAATGATCTCATTGTTGGCCAGTTTAACAAACAGGAAGAAAAAAATTCATGTCTTATTCATTGGTGTGGGATGGTCAGTCATGGTCAGTCAAGAGCAAACCTGCAACTATGATTGCTTCAGAAGTTGTTGCAAAGGAAGCATAATTAATCCAGGAACCACAATATAGAGAGTCAGACTGTTAAAAAAAAGTTTGGTACAAATTTTGATTTATGAAGATTTTGAACATTCAGCACTGCAAATGGGTTGAAGGTTAAATCATGCACTAAAGTTTTGCAAAGACAGAAGGTAGCACACAGTTGATTCCAACATTTTTTGCATTCTGTTTTGAAGGGGGAAGTAGCAAGAGGTGGAGATGGTCCTCAGATGATTGTGAAGGAGGATTCAGTGACAGTGGATGGAGTGGAGTATCCACCTGTGTTCATTCCTGAGACATATTCATTACAAAGGGCTCGACCTCCCGGGGCAGGGGGCTCCCTCCGTCGCCACCACAAACCCCTTGGCCCATCCATGCCTGACTCTTAGCATCACTTCATCTCTTCTTTTCTCAAAGATCTGTATTAAGCCCTACTCATGAACCATTAGCCAGTAAGGTGAAACTGAAGCTAAAGACAATTTTGAAGTCAGATGACTTCAGCTCACATATCTGTAACTGTTGAAATTGTTTTGTAGCTGTATGTCAGATCCATATTGCATGACTGTGATGGTAATGTTTGTTGGTTTCATGTCTACCCAGATCATTTATTGTAAGGGGGAAAATATTTTTATTTAAAAAATGGTCTATAATTTTTTTTTCAACTTAAAGTAGGGTTCACTGTAATAGGAGAGGATACACTGAGCTTACAAACTACAATGGTCAGAGTTAAATTAAAAGCTAAATGTGACCTCATCACGTACACTGTTGAGATCACAAGCTGAAGAGACTTATTTACGATCTTGAAATTAAGGGGATCAGTAATGATTCTTGGTTTTTCAGCTTATTATATTTAATTTTGAAAAACTGAAATAGGCCTGCTTCTCAGGTTGAACCATGTGAGTCTCATTTCAAAACTTTTTCAGCTTTCCAGTTGCAGTGCCAACTCACAAAGAAATACGATTGTGATATAAAATTTTGAGGAGACATTCAAAGGACTGTGAAACATTTCTGTTGGGAAACATTTGATGTTTATTATTGAAAAAGAAACATGCAAGGTATTTTCAAGTAAAACATGAGACATCCTATGTTAGACATCATTCTTGAAGTGGAATACCATTATACCATTTTCTGTAACTGTTGAAACATTACAGGTGAAAATAAATATTGGCTAATCATTCTTCTCCTGGCTGGTTATTTCACTTCAATGGGTAGCATGCTACTGTCTGCTGGGATAGTAATGACATTTGAGAATTTCTCTAATTATCTCACATTTGAGACAAAGGCCCAGTATTGGACCTATTCAAAATTCACAAATACATTAGGTTGCATTGTGAAATTAAGCCATTTCTCTGCATCATTCTTCGCAAAACCCTGTGCCTGGATCATTGCATTGTAAAAAAAATAAGCATTGCGCTGCTGAGGTTTCTGCAATGAGAGTTGAAATTAGACAAGTACCTAGTTTGCAGAAAATTTTCAATTTCTCTGGAGTCTGCTCAATGCATGGAATACAGGATGGGCCAAAAGTCCCTTTGGGGTTTCATGCCTGTATATCTTGGGAACGGGGTGGTGTAGAAATATGTGGTATACACCATATGAAAGGTCATTTCGTAAATTTTTATGACACACCAAATCGTGCATCTCACACCTCCACATATCTGCCATCTTTGTCAAAACATGTATGCAACCTTCTAGCAAACATTTCCAGAACTGCCTCCAATTGGGCAGGTGTGATGTTCCTGACTGCTCTCCCAATGAGTGTGCAAAATTCAGCCATGCAGCGTGTGTGTGTGGCATACACAATGTTCTTATCATGTCCCCACAAACAGTGTGTATCTTTTTGGAGGAAAAGTTTACAAACCATAGGATGGAATGGGGAGCATTCATCCTGTCGCCTCCCAGGTCCCCAGACCTGACCCCTAGAGATTTCCATTTGTGGAATGGTAAGAACATAGTGTATGCCACACACACACACACACACAAAGCATGGCTGAATTTCACATATGCATTGGGAGAGCAGTCAGGAACATCACACCTGCCTGATTGGAGGCAGTTCTGGAAATGTTCATTAGAAGGTTGCATGCATGTTTTGACAAAGATGGTGGACATGTGGAAGTGTGAGATGTATGATTTGGTATGTTCATGTAAATATTTACTAAATGACCTTTCATATGATGCATATCGCATATTTCTACACCACCCCATTCCAAAGATATACGGGCATGAAACCCCAAAGGGACTTTTGGCCCATCCTGTATTCCATGCATTGAGCAGACTCCAGAGAAATTGAAAATTTCTTGTAGATCAACCTTGTAGATCAACATCCTTGCCAAACTAAATTCTGGGGTCACTATTGGCAGTCTGAAATGGCTAGGCCACCTTGGAGTTATCTGTGGGGGGGCTAGAGTTTCACAAAACTCCCTGGATTGCCCTGCTGTCTGACTCATGACTAGGGAGTGGATTTTTATGCCCCAATAAGTTGAAAAATATGCACATACATATGCACTTTAAAATGCCAAAATAGGCATGAAATATGCATGAATGCAAAAAATATGCAAAAACATGTGTTATTTTTAAAGCAGTACAAATTTTTTGGAAGAAAGAATTTCAATCTACATTTCATGCCTCAACTGACTATAGTTGATTTATTGCCGTTACAGCCAGGAACTTGCCAATGGAGGGATAAATGAAACAAATGGGGACCAGGACATCCTTAACTTCTTGAGAGTAGTAGATGCATTTTGGACAGAGTTAGGGAGCTTTGCCACCCCAACCCCCCCCCCCCTCTACACTACTGGTCACAGCACATTAATACTGAAAAAATTTCATCTGTAGCTCATAAAAAAAAGCACATTTCCCTGGAAAACCCTTATTTTTCCCATAAATATGCAGGTGCTGAGAAAAACCCCAAATATGCACTTTTTAAAATGGCAGAAATTGCTTCCTCTACCAGTAAGACATGATCCTACCTCGGTTACATGTTCCTAGGAGGCTGCAGAAAAAATATGCATTTGCTTAAAAATCCACTCCCCACTCTTGCCATGAGATGCCTGATCATTGCTTGTATCACTTTTGCCTGTTGTTTGACAGAACTTTTCTATTTCTTATGAGTAAAAATGCATCACTTGGTAAGTGTACTGACACATCAGTAACCATATGAACCAGTCATTGATAAATTATCACTTGGACAATTGACAATTGGAATTTCATACTGCTGCTACTGATAGCCCCATGCAAAAGAAAGGAACACATTCACATATGAATTTGTTGCCCAGAGCCAGGTTCTCTTGTCTCTTTCCCAAGTAAAGAAACATGTTCTGGCCTCACCCATGCAAAAATTGAAATAGATTCCAAATGCATGACCGAATCTAAGGCTGAAACATGCAAGGAATGATGGCATCAACCATCTCAACTATCTGTTCCCTGAAATGTACATGTTTGTGACTTCCCTTTGTAAGGTACATAATAAAATCATAGATGGAGAGTGTAACTAGAGGTGACACTTTGAGGGGTTAGGGAGGGTTTTAATATTACAGAGACATCTGGTGGCTTGTTATCAACAACACTTCCATGAAGTGTGCTTCGTGGCAGCAGAATCGGGAATCGACTCGTTCGGGGATTCAACCGAAAGGGATCACTGAACATAGCATGTGTTTCTCATTGAGTCCACTGCTCAACCATGGAAGAGTTGTTGATGTGCACCTGCCTGGTGGAGGATCAACAATGACATCTATATTGTGACCCTGTCAATGAATGGGATTTGAGTGGAGTGTTGCCTCTAGTTATACTCATTACTCTATAGTAAAATGTCATGAACCATTTACTGGCCCAAATGGAGAAGGCTGACCATTGTTCCTAATTTTTTATTCATGGGATTTGTTGGTTTCTTTCCTTTTCTCTTTATTGCACAGATTGGCATTAGTAACATCCAGTCATTGGCTGAATACAGCCATTGACGAATTGCCTTTTTCTTTTAATGAAAGAGCAATTTAGTGATTTGATTACTCATGAATTACAGAGAACCATTAACCCTTTCATGCATGATGTCCAAAATGGCAAAATTTTTGGCTACAATGATGGCTTTTCAGCCATGGTACACATACCTCAAAACTTTTGGTGTATGCAGTCAATTCAAGGACACATAATCCATTCAGTGTTCCTTTTCAATGGTGGAACATGTGACTATTACAGCAGAGTACCTCCTTTAATGTTAGACCAAACAACAAATATTCTTGTTTTACTTTAGAAATTCATGCATGAAGGAGTAAAACAGTGAGGTTTCTGTTGTCATCAGAGTTAGATATGAGGGTAACTCTGAAAGTTGGAAGCTGCTTCCCCCTTAAGTAAAGAAAAAAGACTTCAGCTTGAAATTTTCACTGCTCCTCTAAATAAGCATTTATGAGCAACTATGCAGTTTTTTCTTTTGCTTTAGTTGAAACCAAGAATCAAAGCAGTTCTGCCAATGTTCTTTGACCATAGTTGACAAGTCTACTCCACTAATTGAAGGAATGTGAACTCCAGCAGAGGAAGACATGAAGTTGTGCACTGCAGCAAGTTATTTGAAAACCATATCTCTTACATGGTGAAAGAAAGGAGAAATGATCACTTACCTTCCATGGCTGGGCATTTAAAAGCTCATGTCATCAGGGTCTGGGTTTTTTTGTTCTAATTCATTCTTTTTTTTGTGACACAAATAAACTATGATTTTCATGGACCTTTTTTTAAATATAAATTACAGGATTTTCTTCCTCTTTCACACAGTATTTGTTACATCTCTGTATCTTGTGGATAACCATTACAAAAGTATTTTAAACACAAGGAATGATATTGAATCTGGAAAAAGTTGTATGACTTTTTCTCTGTCCAGACAACAAAAATGTATAACTACAAGTTCTAAACCTGTTGCATTATATCCATATGATCAACCTAGCAAAATAGTAAGGAAAATTAGCATATTTTTTGCCAAGACCTGTCATGGATCACATTTCATTTGTTTTTCAAGAGTAGTTTGTGCAAATGGTTGTCTGTACAGTGCACAGACATAGGCCTCAATATATTGAAACACATCCACTAGAGTATGCAGAACTGTAAATGATATTTTAAGGTTTTCCCTGGAACCTTATTAACATTCTTTTGAGGAAGTGGGATGTAGAATGGTCATATGCATAGTGATATAACACAAAGGGACTAAGAAAAGCCCACATTTCTGGGTAAGATCTGATCTATCCACAGAAAAGGCTTTATTAACATTCACTGATAGCATGTCATTGTTTCTTTCTAAGGGCCACAAGAAATCACTTAATATCATCTTCCCCATGGGTCAGGATAGTTTTCAACAATGAGATTCTTGAAACGCCTGAGAGTGACCTTGAAATTGACATTTTCATCTTTGTCATCTGAACCGGTCCTGTGAGCTGCTTGCAGTATGACACGAGACACAACAAGGAAGTGAGGATTTGTTTCACTGAATCCTGAGATGACATCCAACTCATCCCCTAAGGCAATCTGCAAGAGCCATCAATGGTTGTAATAAAAATGAAATAATATCTCTGCATTTTAGCATACAATACCATTCCATGAAAAATAAAAGAGTGGCATACAAAATGCCTCAACATTTCACAATTGGAAGTTGTGTGAATATGAAAAAAAAAAGGTATAGCACAACATTTATGAGTATTTTATCTTTTCTCAGTGACTTGTAACATAAAATCCTTTGTGATCAGGTTGTTTATCATGTCTTAATTTTTTGGTTCTTTTTTGAAGGTATTTCAAGAAAAAGGGCTTACCTGTACTCCTTTCTTCAATACCTGTTCCCCGTTCAGGCGTACTCGATTGTCATAAAAGATCTGGTCCACTTTGCTAAAGGAAGAATGAAGCTTAGTGTGACTATGCATGTTTCATATTCCTTTAATGATGATACAAAGCTTTACACTTATTTATTAACCAATAATTTTCATTATCAAGATGTCATTCTTATGTTATTCAAATGATTACTGCATCTGATCAACTACCGTATTTATTCGTGTATAAGGCACCTTTTTATGCATATTTTCATTGTGTACGATGAGGGGGTGCGTCTTACACTCAGGGGAAGAAAATTTGCAGCCTACTTATAACTCATTGGTCACTTATTGAGACGGAAACATTGTCTGTAGTCAGTCAGAACATGATAAATATAATAATAGTAAAACAGTCAACGGGGAATGGCTACTTCTATTCGCAGCCTTCATTCGGTATCGGAATCGGAATCTGAGATATCAGGCAGCGTGGGAAATTCATACGCGGGGGGCTCTCATCCTCCGAGGGGCCGTTCTAGAGACAATCATTTCTCATGGAAATTTTTGAGCCAATGAGGTTTTTCCGACGAAGAGAAAATCCAACTCTTTTCATGAATCTTGGCGTTCATCCTCATGAAGCGCCGAATTTTCGATGGGATCCTGTTTGCTCTTGCAGCTGTACGGGTTCGCGTCTAGATCACCCTGGTTTTGCGCCTAGACCATCCTTTCGAGACGAAAAACCGGCAAAACCGGAAAGGTGCAAAATCCACATTTTGCACCTTTCTATTTTTCGCAATTTCCATCAGCATTCATATCGAATCTGAAGTATGTGTGGATTCGATTCGATTTGAAAGGTGAGTTCGTGTCGCAAGTCTGAGAGAACTATACCACGTAAGAGTGCAAAATGTGGATTCTTTGGGTTCGAAGTCGAAAAATTTTAATAAAAACGAGAGCGGGAGCAGATGTCGGCTCGGGGTTGGCTCTCATGTTCGTTTTTTTTTCATTACTTTATTCTCGGATTTAAAATTTTTCGAAGGTCATGAATGAAAGATGTTTGTTGAAATTACCTGTAGAAAATAAATCCTTATGAGAGGGAGGTGTTAAATTGTTTTTTTTCTCTGTTGGCGAGAAAATAACGTATGATATTCATTAATGCTAGTATAGTAATGATTTTCGCCCTTCCACGAGAATTTTTTTTTTTTACTCTGAAGAATGCAGTCAGTTCTTTTTGTACGTTTCAAGGTTAAATTGCTATCCCTTAGCCTCAGTAGGAATATGGTGGTGAATCCGGAGATGGCTTGACGCGTGGAAACGGAGATGCGAATCCAGTGTTGAATCCAGTGATAGCTTGACTATGGTAGAAAGAGAAAGAAAGAAGCGAAACGTTTAAACAGTATGCTTCATCGAGGATTTTATTACAGAAGTAAGGACTTACTCTTTTACGTATTCAGTCACTTCCTTCTTGATTACCAGAAATTATCCCATTTTCCCCACGAAAGGCCATGAGATTCTTTAACCCTTATCCGGGCAAGGGGAGTCCATTGGACTCCCCAGGGTATATTTCATTTCATTACTCTCTGCAAATTTTTCAAAATATTATTCAAATTTGATATGGGTTTCATACTGTCAGTAGGTATCTAAGTCTTTGCTTGAAAATTTCAAACCTAAACGAAAATTCCTTTTTTTAAGATTTTTACAAACCGGAACGGGCAAACACAGTGTTTTTTACCTTGCCCGGATAAGGGTTAATGCCCAGCTCAATTTCGCCTTCACCTTGATCCGGTTCCGTGTACAGCTTTCCTCGATGTTATACTTATGACCTAATGCACGGATGCCTAACTCATTCGCTTCCTGAATCACTTTTATTTCTCTGTTTCTGTACAACTTCGCCGTACATTTCCATCCATTTTCACGGATAATAAAACAAATGTCAGGAATACTGTGCCCCCTCTCAATAAAGGTCAGGACAGTGAATAAGAAACTAGGTTTGACCGACCTTCCGACCGGCATTACCCCTTACTCATCTCCCTAGTCAGACACTTTTCGCTACGAAATAGGGAGGTGCACCTTATACACGGGAAATCTTTTTTTAAATTTTTTTTTACACGAATTGGGACCTCAAAAGCGGGGGTGCGTCTTATACACGATAGCACAGTATACTCGAGTAAATACGGTAATTCATTTCCGACACTCAATTTTAGACTTTCAACCATAACCTCACATTTAAGAGGAGACAGTATATTCACCTGCGGGAGATGCCAAGGCCAGCCTTGAGGATCAACTCCAGCCTTAAGGATGATACAGTGACCTTGATGTCCTTGAAGTCCTTTTTCTTCCCAAGCATTGCATCATCGTCATCATGGGAAAGATCTTCAATGACATCCATCGGGCCTTCTTCCTACAAATAATGCATTTTAACCAGGGGTCAGGGCTTCGCAACATTGTACTTAATAAAAATGCTAAGATGAACTGACCAACTCTGTATCATCCTCTGGACCCCTCTCCTCTCTTTTTCTCTTCTTCCATCTTCTTTGAATGAACCAAGTCTGATTCATGAGTTGGACAGCAGATATTCTCACATTCACATCTCCCATACCACAAAGTGAATGGTTCTCCACTTGAGATGGAGAAGGATGGACAGTTTGTACCAATGGATGATGATGGACATATGAATTTGAAGAGAGTGATCCAAACAGTCTCATCAAACCTAATGAAGCAAGATAACTGTTCTTCCACCCATGAATTACAGTCTTCTTTGCCAGCTGATATGTCATTTTTGCTCACATAATCGTGTCACGCTTCTCTGCTAACTATAGAATAAAAGAGGAATTTGCATGACTCTGAGCTCAAGAGCTACATGAAACAACTGTGCTCCTGAAGAATATTGGGCCAAGTTTTGAACTAGCCTGCCTCAAAGTTGTCATATGTTGCTTTCCAATAATGCCAATAATCCTTTGAAATTCTTACATGAAATTCTTTGAAATTCAACAAGCAGGCTGCTTCACCATCAAGATTCCTCATAACAAATTCTAAACCATCTTCAGTCAGGATCTTAACTTTGACTAATTGACTTTTTCTCCCTTCATGGGTTACAGTGGCAAGCAGATGAAAGACCAGATAGATGGTAGGAGCAGATTCTCCTGATGGATCTGTATTCTGTACAGCCTCAAATTCCTCCACCCCTGGTAACAACATGTAACATCTATGTAGCCCCTACCTTCTGTATAAACTGGGGTTTCCTGACCTAAATCAGTTCTGATTTTAATTATTTGATTTTTTTTTGTAAACACTCAATTGCTTTTAATTGAATTATTTTTTAAGGTGCTGTAAGTGAATTAGCTGGCTTCTTGAAGCCATCTAATTCACACCCAGAAGAGAATTTCTCTCTTGAATTCTAGAAGCCATTATCATGATTCTCAGATTAATTTGAATATGCAAAAAGGCCACACATTTTTAACTAATACACTATGGGACAAAGTTGCACTTTCCTGGCCAAAGTTAAACTTTTTGGCTTGTATGTGAAAATTCAAGTTTATTTGCACTAAAGCACTATAAAAGCCATCTCATGTTGAAAAAATGGTTTTATTTTCCATACAGAGTTACTCTAAAGTACATTATAGTTTCTAAACAAAGACTTCAATGGACAGAGGAATAACTGCCTAGTTTGAACCTCAGAAAAATACTCTGCCCCAATTGAAGGTGGTGCCAACTCATCTGCAAGCGATTTTATTTAATATTTGTTTCATAGAACTTAAATGTAGATGTTCAAAAGATGATGACACCTTGGTACTCAAAAGCTTCAATTCATAACAAAGCACATTCCTAGATTTTCTCATTATTTATTTAAATTATAACTGAAACAAGAAATATGACTTCATTGCAGTAAACCTGCAATCCAGGTTTACCATGCAATGCATATCACATATTTCCTGCAAGAGCCATTGCCATGTCATCAACAAGCATTTCAACATCTAACTAGCAAGATATCAACCAATAATAGGCTTTTAGAAAATCAGCCTTTACCTTAGCCCACAGGTTCTCAACTTAGATAAGAGAAGACCCATCAACCTGACATCCTGAAGGTCTGGTGGTCCAGAAGTAAAATTCTAAGGCAAGAGCATGGCAGTCACTAACAGATCTGACAGATGAATATGCATCCAGGATAGGTAGAATCAGCCATGAAATTAGCTGATTAGAGGGGTTGGAGCTCCTTGACCCCCTCTGAATGCTTCCCTGCTATCAGACTATTACTGCCATGAGGATGCAGGCAGAGAGGCAGGGAAAGCAAGCAAAAAAAAAAGAAGGAGAACCAAGGAGGGTCTGTGATCAAGATGGAAGTTTGCAGTCTGGATCTGGACCACAGTCTGTAAGCTCTTAATCTAGCTTAAACTCTACAATAAAATGTACATTAGTAAAGTCAAGCATTTGCTGCAACAAACTAGAGAAGATAAGAATGGAAGAAGAATTCTAGCTTGTAAGAGTCTAAGTTAGGTACTTTTAATATCTCTAGTTCCACTTCTTCCATGAAGATGGTTGCTTCACGCAAGAATGTGATGTTTCAAGACAATGCTGACTGATGAATAAGAGCCATCTAAATCTTCAAAATTGGAAGGTCACCCATTGAGGAGATTGTACCTGAGTTACTATGGAATCACCTTTCAAGTCAACCAATCAGTCATGACCATGGTGAGCCTTAGTGGGGTGAATTGTGGGTCCAAAAGGCCTACATATGACTACATAACACCCACCAACAAACTGAGTAGGTCTAAACTTAACCTCCTCCTCTATTCATATTATATTAATTAGAGCTACCCCAACTTTGGTAGGTTATAGCCTGACAATGTTGGGTAACTCTAACTTAGATCAGTTTAGGGCATCAACCAGCATATATGCTGGGTAACCACAATGCCTAACAGGTAGGCCATTAGGCCTTCTTACATGCCTAATGGAGGTAAGGAAGCTTCATTTACCAACTTGAACTTGATTTAAAAGTGTAAAACCACATGGAGCCAACAAATGGACTAACCCCCAGCTGTGAGATCCAACAATATAAGAATCGTTCATCATTCAGTAAGTCAGTCACTTTCAAATAGAATTCTATCATTCCACTAACGCTAAATATATCTACAGCCGTCCAACTTAAAAAAAAAACTTTAGCAAGAAAGCCTTAATCTTTATTACTATACTTCCTGATTTTTGATCGGCTTGTAATTCACGACATCTCAATAGGCCCATTGTCCTTGTTGCATATGGTATTCCTGCTGCTATAATTGGTCAATGCGTGTTGCCGGCAGCACCTTTTTGAGATTGCCTTTGTGGATCTTCTATACCCCTGAGGACCAACAACCTCCAGTTGATGTCTCATTGTACATACTATCGGTCTGTTTCTTTTGCTACGTCCTCAATAAAATTAAACCAACTTTTTCAAAGCAACCTAGTGCTGGGCACCACGTGCCCCAAAGAAAACTCATTACACATCAGTGTTGCACTACGAACTCGGTTCACTACGGGAGGCACAATAAATGTGTTAACTGGTTAATTGAAACATTCTCATAAGAAAAGAAAACAAGACTAATGAAATGATTTTGATAGCTGACATCCGGATACCGTGAGGTACTTAGTCCATTGCTCTTTCTTAGCTACATAAACGATGTCCCCAATTCCAATACATAAAAAAAAAATTCCCCCACTGGGCTATTCATAGCCTAAAATGCTGCATGCCAACGCGTCTGGCCTTGAATAAATATATGGAAGTACTTCCCAGCAACCTTCGCTGAATCGTCTGATCCCTTCTCAGAGGGAAACCTCAGAGGTGTCCGGTCAGTTCCCCCCCGGTTAAATCCTCAGCAGGACAGTTCCCCGAATGGCAAATTCCCCCGTCAGTTCCCCTAGGTTACATAGTGGTCTTACGGTCGCAGATGGAGGGCAATCGACCGCACAGTCTTGTACATTAACTAATTCCACTCTTTCTAGCTTTTCTGAAATTCGGATACCAGTTCTAATCTGAGAGTTGCTTCTCAAATGACGCTATTTTTGTCTCAAAGATAATACCTAAAAATAAAATACCACTCAGTCTCGTTCATGTTCAGGGATCGATTTATTTTCTACGTCCTTGCTTGTCTCTGAAGAGGTACAATGACACACACAACCCCACCTGATAAAAGTTGTATTATTGTTTAATGGTGAAAGGAGGCTTACTACTGAAATTTCTTCCCGGACAGTACTTCGAAGAAACTCATGTTATACTCACAATACGTTCTCCATCAGTCCCGGCTAATTTTGTTCTTTATGAGCACCTAGCCCTCTAGAACAAGAAAATTCTTTCCCTTTTCGCTCTTCACGAAACTCCATGAATCCACGAAACTCCCACACTGTTCAAGGACTGACCACGTAAAGATTCGATTCCTAAGCCACCCGACTTCTCCATATATAGCCCCATTTTAGATATTGATGGACATCTTGTCGATCGCCTCATTTTCTGGTGGCTGAGAGGATTATCCTGACAACATTTATGTTGCCTTTTTTCATCTTCCCTTTCCTTTCCTGTGAGAATCTTAATCAATGATCTGACTGGCATTGTATGGGTTGTCATGTTCCTTAGGTGAGCTATATTTCCTGAAGGAGGGGGCAAAAAATTTAATGATTTCCTCCCATCTAGGATTCGAGAAGATTAGCGACTTTCCCCTTTCCTTCTGTTCGCCTAGACCCCCTACACTTCGGTTCCGGCTCGGTTGGAGGGCGACCACATCCCCTCCACTCTCACTCCCCAGTGCATGATGCACGAGACTGGTAACTTTTTTTCGGAAACAAATCCATTACTTTTGTGCTACCATCGAAGATTTCATCAATAGGGAATTTACAAGTCGGTGGATTTTCCAGACGGGGAACTGATTCTTTAGGGAGTTTGCTATTCGGGGAATACTGTCATGTCGTGGAAATGATCAATCGAGGATTTGACCGAAAACCTTCTCAGACTGTGATCATTGGTCTCTACTTAGGGTTGCCAACTCTCCCGGTTTCATCTCCTTCCTCTAGATCAGTTCACAAAAGACGCCGGATTCTCCATGTTTCATTGGGAAAGGGAATACACAAGTCGTGAAAAAGTAAGCATGGGCTGTCCCCTGGTCCCAAGGACTTGGAAGTTCGTAAGAAGGTAATGGGCAATGACTATCACATCTAACGAAGGCTTTTTCGTTGTTGCAAGTATTTAATTCATCAAATAATATCGAATTCGTCGTGAAGAAGATTCATCGCCAGAATGTATTATTCGGTCGCTCAGTTAATTTTATCTCGCGAAATTCTAATTACCTTTACATAATGATTTCACCATTAGATTTAATAGGCTTAATGAATCTAATACCAAATGGTGAAAATACCGAGGGAGAACCTCAGTATTTTCACCAGATGCCGCGAAATGACCACCAAACTTGATTGATTTTGCACCAAATAATCGTCACATTTCACACATGAAGCGAAACAAAGCTCTTTCTCGTTTCACGGGCCTGTAAGGCAGAGGTGGCATTCTCTGGTCTTTCTCACTTTATTTTCTGTCTTTTTGAAAAAGATCCAGCTTCCAATCGAACTGTGACTTCCCCCGGTTTGGATTCACATTCCCAGTGCGTGCTTGCAAATGCTTGCCTTCATCCAAACTGGACCTGTGCTTTCCAAATGCAGAACTCTGACAACCCAGTGGGAGAGTCCTGTTCACTCGAAGTCATTCCAATGCTCAAGTTAGATATTTCTACAAATTTTACCAAACTTAAAACCTCGAAGTCACTAGTAACCATGGCACCTCAAATATGCACTGCACAG